CTAAGTTTTTGAAACAAGAAATTTTAATGGAAATTAGTTAAAAAGTTCAAAGTGATAAATTAAGTGTTCCGTGTAAAAATGTTTTCGAAAATCTAGTGTGTTCATAATTCATTTATATAATAATCTTATTTAAATAAATTCGGACCTTCTCTTATCCAGCTGTTATCTGATCACCAGCATGGCTAAAGGAATTGTTCCCAGAGGTATTGTGAGTTGACACGTCCAGGTATTCAAGCGATTTCCTGTCGGGCTTTAAAACTCTTATTACACAATTACATAAAGCAAGTTCGTGCATCACTTCACCTCTGAGGGTATTGAGAAGTGTACACGGCCGATAACTTGTAACTTTCCATTTTGAAACTATCAGGTGAATATACATCTTTGTCTTGCGTGTCCGATAGTGATATGCTAGTCTTTACTAAACCATAGATATAATAGCCATTATATATATGACTAAACTCATACGCTTGTTTATAAATAACATTTATGGTGTAAAGAATATTTATGAAAATCTAAATAATTCCAAAAAAAGATTTGATAAAATAAAAATATATTTACATATTTTCCAAACGTAAATTGGGGAAAATGTAAGTAATTACTCGTTGTCAATAATTATGGACATTTTGAAACGTACAAATATTGATTTAACAAAATGTACGCACTTGTCAATCATTGGATTATACGCCTAGATAGAAGGTTACGGAACTATAGATAGTCGCAATTTAGAATATAAACATGTATATTGAATATACGAGAGAAACATCCAAAAACCAATCTGATTTAAATACAGGTCGATATCTAACTTGCTTTGGTTCATCGAAGTTATGCACAGATTTTTATTTCAATTAGATTATTTTGAACAGTTTAAGAAAGTCGTCATTATCTCAATGGTTGTGTATTATGTATAATAATGTAATGATGTGAACATGGTTCTATTATACCGGTAGTACCTCATGTCAATTTTCCTGTTCCGACTTGCATGTCATATATATGCCACTGGACGTACACTAATGATCCCCAAAAAAGCTTATTTGAAGAAATAAAGAAACTTCACTCCGAATAGACTGATAGTAGACGTATTAACGTCTGGTCAGCTAGAAGGTTGATTAATTTATTTAGTTAGCTTAAAAGGGAGAGGAGATAAACCATTCCTAATATTGCACTTATGCATAAAATATTAAATGAGAGTAATATAAGAGAAAATATAAATACGAAAAGTCGCATATCTGGTAAAAAAAAAGTCTCACTGGCAACTATAGAATTTCACGTACAATTCTCATTCTTAATCGAAATAACGGACAGTCATTAAAATACATGCATGTACACGTTGATAAAAAGGGGTGCTGCAGTTGCATATTATTCATCATAAATCTATTTCAAGTATATACTTTCCTGTAATTCTTATAAGTTAACGCAGAGACATGTAACTATACATCTCTAGTTAACGACAATCAACCATATAAGTATTTGAATCTGATGTGACTTACCGTTCATCTCTTTCTTTTTTCTTCTTTTTTTTTTTTATTTGGGCAGGTACACAAACATTGTAATGTTAGATATACTGTTCCCAGGTTGGGAGGAGGCGGTGGTTGGAGGTGAAGTATATCGAAAGTTACAAAATAAGAACGTTGTATTTATGAATTTACATGAAGAATTCTGATCTTGGGCGCAGGTTTCTTTTTTTTTTAAGTTCAGTGATTTAAATTGAGAGAAAAAAATCTGGTCAGAATTTAAATCGTACCGGCAATTTCAACCTAAGACTCCTCTAAAATCATGAATGGTCATGCTTCACAATCATCAGAATTTTCTTTTGCATTGGTACATTCTGTATCGGTAGTGATTTACCTTGACATTTCCGGGTATAACAGATCTACTTGTATATTACATGTATGTGGTTAGGTGACGTCCCATGAGGTCTTACGTATACAGGTTCACATTTATAATGGTTTCTGATATAACAAGGTTTTATGACATTCACACTTCTGCATGTTCTGTATACCAAATTCTTATCTTATTTTCAGACCAAACGAGGATGTGAATATTTTCCAGGAAAAATATTGAGTATCAAAGTATCAAATTAATTTCGGGATTTTTTTCTTTCTTGGTATTAAATCACAGAAACTTAAAGAATATACTGCTTGTCCGCTTTAGGTGTATTCTTGTCAGTTAAGACTGACATATATGTCTCTGGTATATAGTGGGTTTATGAATGAATGATAAGTCTTGCAAAGGTACAAGATATAAAACACATTGAAAATTGATTCTGCCGGTCTGTCTCCATTCAAAAAAAGAAAGTTGACGTTAGATTGATTCTGTTATTTTTTTTAAACATCGTTGGTCAAATAGCTAAAGTATGTATACGTTGTGAGATTTTAAATATTTTAATAAGGGCATTCCCGATTAGGTAAATGTAGATCGCTGTGGACGGACCAAGCTAAATTAATCATGTAACCGCGATAATTTTCTCAAAACATTGAAATATTCAAGGTTAATACCCATGATAATTTGAAAAAGTAAGTACAGTGTTTGGTTTATACGCTCATTTTCGTGGGCCATTTTTATTTATATAATTATTTAATTGAAAGTAATTCAGAATTTCGATGTTACAACAAAATACTCACCTATCTATTTTAAAATTAAGCTTACGCAAAATATAAAAGATCAACATGTATATAACGGCGATTCAGGTATTTTGCCACCATATTCCTCCCCAAATAATTAATGTTTTTATCATTCATACGAAATGTTGTGCACACCTGTAACGGTGAACCGTGTTGGCTAAAATTCACTGAGTGAAGATCAAAAGAATAGAATTACAGAATGCTAATCTTTTAATTACCTTGAATTTAACCACGCATTCAACAGGTAGTCACTAAGTGTCACAGTACAATACACATTGTATTTACACAATACTAGTGGGAAATGTTTGCGAGACTGAAGTAAAAGCCTTCAGGTGAGAATACAAACATGCATTTGTAAAACAATATCAGTTATATATGTTTGTTCAAAATATCCGTCGGAAAAAAAATTCATAAAAATATATTCTATTGTATGAATTTACTTTTATTACTATAATCATATCAGATATCCTTTAAATATAAATCGTACATTTTAATTTTGAAAGTTGCACGGCTGATCACTTTACTTTCTTAATTATTAGTTGGTTAATAGCTACGCCAAAAGTCGTCGATGCGCTTTAAATCGCGTTATTAGATTATTAACGAACAAGACTTACAATGAGATTTATTCACTCCCGGCATGCAAAAAGACTTAAACTACGTCACATAAGTCAGGAAGTTGGAATAAATTAAATTATTAATTCCCAATTTTCTTCTTTATTAGTGTTCATATCCAGATAAAACTTGGTAAATATGTTTTTTATGGTATTATGAACATAATAAGATGAAAAGTAAAAAATCGCGAATTTTCCCTTTAAATCTTCATAAAACATGACCAAGTATTGTCTGACCAATTTAGAACATATTCACACTTTCGAGTGACCTTACAAAATTATCCTTTCCCATTGTAATATTCAAAACTAAATAAGAATTCACTTTTTATAATGAAGTGAGTATATAACATAGGTAATGACCATTGCAATGGATGGAATGAAATAGCACTGACATAGTTTGTGAGGACAAAAAGGATAAATTGTTCAAACATTTGAGTTTTTCTTCTGCATCAGGTATAAATTTAATACTTTAAGTATACCTTAAATTTCTTGATTTTAATTAGCACACAATGTTATATCAATCCGCTTTCTGAAATTTGAATATTTTTTTATAATTATAAAACTTACTCTATAAATATTTGAATTACGACCATTCAACATCAGATGCTTACTTTTTATTGATGAATGTACATGTATTGTGGGTTTTTTCTCTCAAAAAATCCTTTGCTTTATATATGAGCAGTCTGACATTGTTTTCTTGAAAAAAAATAATCGACTCGAATGTCTGGTATAAAAATTGTATAAAAGATGATTTTACCTACATCATTGCCCCCATTTTATTTTATTTTTTGTTTGTTATATATATGTACCATTAATATAAAGATTTGCAATGTTCTAAATGTTTTTTACAATTCTTTTCTCTTTCATATTTAATCATTAGGCTATTTTCTCAAGAAAAATGCCTCAGGGGATTGTACACTTCGTTAGTGAAGTTATTAAGAGTTCACTTTCATAATTAATCTACAATGAAAAGTCATTCATGTATAGCATTTCATAGTGCATGGAAAGCCATGTACTATGAAAATTAGAAGGGAAAAAAATGACTTTTCATTGGACGAGAATGGGTGAGTATGTTCTAAGTTCCTATAACCTATATGCGAGTTCATATAACATATATGTGAGTTCCTATAACCTGTTTGTGAGCTTGTTTTTAGATTTGGATAATCAGTGGTATACTTATTTGAAATATTTTGTAAATATATAGTAAGAGACAAACTTATAAGTGTCTGTTCTACATGTACATTAAATGGAACTGGTAGTAACAGAAGTTTATAAGTGTGTGATCTACATGTACATTTGGGGCTTATATGATAAGACACACTTGGTATGATAACGCTTTTAACAGTTTGTGTGTCGAGATGGTACATTATATAGCCATACTCTGCCTGTTTGTCGTCGGTAAGTAAGTCGAGATGGTACGCTATATAGCCATACTATGCCTGTTTGTAGTCGGTAAGTAAGCCGAGATGGTACGCTATATAGCCATACTCTCAGACTCGCAGAATGGCTATATAGCGTACCATCTCGACTTACTTAGTCTGCCTGTTCGTAGTCCGTAAGTAAGTCGAGCTGGTACGCTATATAGCCATACTATGCCTGTTTGTCCATACTATGCCTATTTGTCGTCGGTAAGTATTACCATCAACTATGTAGCATGTGATTTTTGTACTGTTATTACTATGGAATTAACCTACAGTCTGCTTTCTACTTTAAACCGAAACCTGTACTGAAAGGAAATGTTATAATTATTCAGTCTCTCAGTAACTTCAGTACTGCTAATACTTATACATATATAGTATGATTATTTATATTGTACAATTTTAGCACTCCTTTTTGTTTCAAATTTTTAATATTGTTTCAGTGCATACTAAGTTAGGAACATTTTCAGTAGTTGGTGATATCAGGACATTTACAACAATCAAATACTGTAAGAATTCTTTCAGAACTGGAATTTATCAGTTTTGATTTTGGGCTGATGTTGGTAAGAGTTATATATAATTAAACATGTTTTTAGTATTGATTTTTTTAATGTTTTAGATATAGGAGTAAGTATAAAACGAATTCTGAAAAAGTAAGATAATTCAGTACTAAAATTACACCAGTACTAAAAACGTTGCTTAACGAGTCATTTCGTGAAAGAAAGGGGTATAAAGAATCAGCACTACTGTATTATTGGGAATTAACTTCAGATATATATGCTATAACTATTCCGTATATTCAAAAGATAGTATAGATAACTTCAGATATCTATGCTATAACTATTCCGTATATTCAAAAGATAGTATAAATAACTTCAGATATCTATGCCATAACTATTCCTTATAGATTCAATAGATTATTAATAACTTCAGATATCTATGCTATAACTATTCCGTATATTCAAAAGATAGTATTATTATAAATAACTTCAGATATCTATGTACGAAAGCCTATTAGGGTCACAAAAAAATATTTTTATCTCGTAATTACGAGAAAACTATCGCGTAATTACGCGATAATTATATCGTAATGACGCGATAATTATCGCGTCATTACGAGATAATCATTGTTTTATCTCGTAATTACGAGATAATTATCGCGTAATTACGAGAAAACTATCGCATAATTACGAGATAAGAAGTTTTTTATCTCGTAATTACGAGATAACTATCGCGTAATTACAAGATAATTATCGCGTAATTACGAGATAACTATCGCGTAATTACGAGATAAATATCGCGTAATTACGAGAAAACTATCTCGTAATTACGAGATTAAAATTCATTTGGCCAAGTAGATTGAGGGGGAGAAAGATTTTTGTAAAAGATTAAAGAAATTTACTTAATTGCAGAAATGACTTTAAAGGGCAATAACTTCTCAAGGGGTCAATTGACAATTTGGTCATTTGACTTATTTGTAGATCTTACTGGCTAAACATTTTTGCTCCTTCAGTCTATTATAATATTCAAGATAATAACCAAAAACTGAAAAATAATCATTAAAATTACAGGGGCAGCATCCCAACAACGGGAAGTCTGATTCGTCTGAAAATTTTTACCCTGTCATATTTGCTCTAAATGCTTTAGAGATATAAACCATAAACTACATTTTACCCCCCCCCCCCCCCTCCCCATGTTCGATTTTTAGTCATGGTGGCTATCTTGGTTGGTGGGCTTTGGATACACTTTTTAAAACTAGAAACCCTAAGGATGATTAAGGCCAAGTTTGGTTCAATTTGGCCAAGTGGTTTCAGAGAAGATTTTTGTAAAAGTTAACGGACGACGACGGACGACGGACGCCATGTGATGGGAAAAGATCACTTGACCCTTTGGGTCAGTTGAGCTTATAAAAACGGGCGTTTTATCAGGTGCCCCGGAAGGGTAATCATGATCTGTATATTTATATATATATGTAATTTTATCTCGTAATTACGAGATAAAAAATGATTATCTCGCAATTACGCGATAACGATCTCGTAATTACGCGATAGTTTTCTCGTAATTACGAGATATTTATCTCGTAATTACGAGATAATTTTTTTTTTTGTGACCCTAATAGGCTTTCGTATCTATGCCATAACTATTCCGCATAGATTCAATAGATTATAAACATGTGTGTTCGTACATTCCAGGCAGTAAAATAAATATTTTGTAGGCTTAGTGAGAAATGTACAATTAGACTATAATTTATCCCCTATAGTGCACACACAAACGCAAGTGCAAACCAATTCATTCTTGTGTACAAAAGTACAATATGATTATTCTTTCATTGTTAAGGCAATGAATGAGTTGAGTACCTTCATTCCGGGAAGAAATAAATTTTGCCAAAAAAAAAGTTTTGAAGAATAAGTGTTTATGGTGTAAAATGTTATTTTCAGTAACAACCTATCCCACAACATATAGTCCATTTACCACTACGACGGAATGCCGGAAGGATGATAGTAAAGTCGAAAGGTGTTATGCCTTTTACTGCGGGAATGGTCAATGGCAACAATTCGAGTTCACAGCTACATACGAGTGCTGTAAGACATCTGATCATCCAAAATGTAAGTCAATAAATTAAACACATAATGGAACTTGGAACATCATCAGGCATAGATATTTGAATATATTGACGTTGAAGAATAAATAAGATTCAATACAACAAAGGTACGTACAATCACCAAGACGTGTTAACTCATAAAAAGACAGAGAACAAAATGGTGAATTAACAAGCATTTCAGGTGTATGCAGATCATAGTACTATTGTATTTTGTATCTATCTAAGACACATCCTATTAGACGGCTAAAGGGACAGCAGATGTAATAGGTAACATAGATCCTAGTGTATCTATCTAAGACACACCCTATTACCGGCTATCTGGAAAGCAGATGTAATAGGTAACATAGATCCTAGTGTATCTATCAAAGAAACACCCTATCACCGGCTATCGGGACAGCAGATGTAATGGGTAACACAGATTCTATTGAATCTATCTAAGACAAACCCTATTACCGGCTATCGGGACAGCAGATGTAATAAGAAACATAGATCCTAGTGTATATATCTTATACACACCCTATTACCGGCTATCGGGACAGCAGATGTAATAGGTAACATAGATCATATTGTATCTATCTAAGACACACCCTATCACCGGCTATCGGGACAGCAGATGTAATAGGAAACATAGATCGTAGTGTATATATCTAAGACACACCCTATTACCGGCTATCGGGACAGCAGATGTAATAGGTAACATATAGATCCTATTGTATCTATCTAAGACACCCCTATTACCGACTGTCGGGACAGCAGACACACCCTATCACCAGCTATCGGGACAGCAGACGTAATAGGTAACACACATCCTAGTGTATCTATCTAAGAACACCCTATGACCAGCAATCGGGACAGCAGATGTAATAGGTAACATAGATCATATTGTATCTATCTAAGACACACCCTATTACCAGCTATCGGGACAGTAGATGTAATAGGTAACATGGATCATATTGAATCTATCTAAGACACACCCTATTACCGGCTATCGGGACAGTAGATGTAATAGGTAACACAGATCCTATTGTATCTACTAAAGACCAAAGACACACCCTATTACCATCTATCGGGACATCAGATGTAATAGGTCACATAGATCCTATTGTATCTATCTAAGACACACCCTATTACCGGCTATCGGGACAGTACACTGAAATGCAGTCAACTTTAGCGTTTGGTAGTTCATTGATAACATTCTGGCGTATCACAAACAAACAACTTGTAACGTCTCATTTCATTGGCCGAAAGATTCAAATACAACTACAATCGTAGTGTGCACGTGAATTGACACAGACAGGTGACTGACTATTGAATGTACTATGTTACTACGAACGTAAAAACAAGGATTTGACAATGTATAGTTTACAAATCTTTGGTCAAAAGAATTAAAATAAATGTTTTGTGAATTTCAAATAGTTGTGTCGAAATATTATACTGCAGCAATATAATTATCTTGTACCGCATTATGAAAAATATAAGGATAAAATAAAATGCATGTGCCGCTTATATACGGATGATGAAGGAACTACTTTTGATTTCTTTCAATGTCGTAGTTACTTATAATAAGGATCTCATAATACCGATCCATTACAATAATTACAATAATTTATGATGGGTTGCACATTCCTCTTTTAGTGTTTTCGTGCTATAAAACGAACATACAGAATGTTACACAGTAGCTGAGCGTTTGGTCATTTAGAAATTACGTATCATAAACGGAGCAAATATTATCCCCGAAATATGGTAACAAAACAACAATAATCGTATCATTTGTACACGTGAATGAAGACGTAGTATGAAGTGTACTATCATGGTCACCACGAAATTCAAATGAAGTCAGTGAAGGCATGTTGGTGTAAAAATGATTGAAATGTTACATCGGCGAAGATTTTTTCTTTTGTATGTGTGGAACTAAAAAAATAAATAAATACTTGTGAGAAATATCGTAGTTTATAAGGAACAATATAAATGTACTGTTTTCGATTTTAATTGGCTGAAAACTTATCTTTTAATTTCATACCGTAAGAATAGTGATTTGCATAACATTGTTGAACTACCCACCAAAGTGACGTGTAGTATGCATGCGTATTTAAAATGAAATACAAAATCATACATGTAAGATAAACTGATAAACGAAGTATCAAGAAATTATTAATAAGGATGACTGAATGCATGTACAAGAAGGGACCCACCTTTTTATCAATACATTTAATGAATAAACACGCTGAAACGAGTGACTGGTGAAAAATAATGTTTATTCAATTATTGAACCAATGCATGTATTATCATAAACTTAGTCTTCTGTGCACAATGTTATCATTTTTTACGCAAATATATCGTATAATCGTCAATTTTTTTTCTATATGTCTGCTGAGACTACTATAACACAGTAGTTAGTTATAGTAGTCTCAGATGTCTGTTATAATGTGAAAATATGGCGGCTAATTATTTGTCGTGTTTGAAGCCGAAATTTACCGATTGTCACCTTATAGTAAACAATCAACAAAGAAGCATGGATATTGAGCACGTGTATAACATGTACAATCAGATAATAGTTTATTTCAATGAGAGATTCATGCGTATTGCGATCACCGGATTTTTACAAGACGAGTCACGCTAAGGTCACTTTGCATACGGAAAATATGTCGGCGAATTGCTTCCTGGAAGCAAGCAATTAAAAAAAGTAAACTTTATCTAAATGTGGACAAATCATAGAATTTTCTTCAGAAAAAAGGATATAATTATGTACATAGGTTTTATAGTGAAAACTATCCATTTAGTTATAAAAAACATATGCATAATTTTTTTCTAAATTTGAGGTTTCATATGACTTTAAAAACTGATTGTCTTCTATGTAACTATTTAAATATTTACAATATATAATTTACGTTCGTTTTTCAACCGAGAATAGCAAAACAGTTAATTATCAAATTCATTAAGTATATCGCTGGAGTTTATAAAGTACATTTCCTGCCACTGTGCCATGGTTTGCCATCTCCATTTTTCTCTGTATGGTTGGTTACATGTTCTGAATTTACTTAAAATTTCGGGATTTTTTCTCAAAACTAAGTAAAATGAATTAGAAAAAAAATCACACTATTCCTAGTCGAATACCTAAAACTTGCGAACGATATGAAAAGGCAGGATGAGCAACTTGGCAAAAAAGGCCGGATGACGATTTATGTAAAAAAAAAATCCGGACAAACTAATAAAAAAAAAAGGCAGGACCAAATAGACTTAAAAATAAAAAGGCAGGACAGAGATTACAACTAAAAAAAAAAAAAGAACAAAATGTTTCATCCAAGCCCCTCCCCCCCCCCCCCTTACCAAAATAAAATGGTAGATTTCTTAATCCAGAACCAACTGAGAGGAGCTAGACAGTTGAATTAAACATTTCGATGTGAAACCTGTTAAGATTTTAAAGTTTAAAATTTTACTATTGCACAAAATTATGAATTCAATGAATTTTACATGCACATGTATATAAAAGCTAGAATTGCTATGGGATAACCAAGAACACAATCATGTACGTGAATACGACGATGGAAGGTTATAACAACCTTGACCGGTTACGTGAATACTGATCAGTCCATTCAACTTATAGTACGCGTGTTCTATTTTCGCAGGTGTGAGGTCGAAGGTTTGAATTGACCAATGAAAACGATCGTTCCTTTACGAGTCAATCTAATAAAGTTTGTTTGACTGATTACGTCGCACTACCTTTCGCTAAGCTTGGCCGCATTTAAGTGTAGATGTAATAGGTAACATAGATCATATTATATCTATCAAAGACACACCCTATTACCGGCTATCGGGAGAGAAGATGTGAAAAGTAACATAGATCCTATTATATCTATATAAGACACACCCTATTACCAGCTATCGGGACAGCAGTAGATGTAATAGGTTACATAGATCCTATTGTATCTAATTAAGACACACCCTATTACCAGCTATCGGGACAGTTGATGTAATAGGTAACATAGATCATATTGTATCTATCTAAGACACACCCTATTACTAACTATCAGTACTGCAGATGCACTATTGGTAACACAAATCAAAATCTGCTGTAAACTATTGAAAAATCCATTGTATTGTCAGGTAATCGGATACGCAGACAATAATCTGCTGTACTCGAAAGAAAAAACAAATGTTTTAATGCCAGTCAGGAACAAAGATCATATTGCAATAAGATGTGTTAAATATCCTTACATCATACTAACTTTCTCCTTATTCTTGAACTCTCTTTAAAATTCAATTACTTCTTCTTTTTATCTCTATCCCTTTTGAACATAAAGGCTATTTTCGTTCGCACTCGCTATTAACCTTCTCGTTTTCATGATGTACTTTTAATTGCAGGTTTAATGTTTGGATACACACAAGCGCCCCTGGTTGGATAAATTAAATTACAACTCAACAAGTTATAAAACATTTGTACATGAGGTTATGCTATAACATATCTTGAAATAAAGTGTTCCTTTGTTCTATTCAAGCTTATTTAAAATAGTACATCATTTTTCTTCTCGGTGGACTATTAGTCTCTCAGCCCGTCCAACAATAAGAATTTTAGATCTAGCGTGATCGCTTGCTGACATTTTAGTAGCATTTGTACTTTTAATAATATACATTAGCAAGTACGCTTGTGACTGTAAATATAAAAAAAAGAAGATGTGGTATGATTGCCAATGAGACAACTCTTCACAAGAGACCAAATGACACAGAAATTAACAAATATAGGTCACCGCAGCTGGGTCACCGTACAGCCTTAAACAATGAGCAAAACCCATACCGCATAGTCAGCTATAATCCCCCGAAATGACAAATGTAAAACAATTCAAACGAGAAAATTAACGGCCTAATTTATGTACAAAATAATGAACGAAAAACAAATATGTAACACAGCAACAAACGACAACCACTGAATTACAGGCTCCTGACTTGGGACAGGCACATATAAAATGTGGCGGGGTTAAACATGTTGGCGGCTCCCATCCCTCCCCTAACCTGGGACAGTGGTGTAACATTACATCATAAGAACAAACTATAAAAATCAGTTGAAAAAGGCTTTACTCATCAGATGGATACAAATAGAAATATATCTAACAAAAACACAGAGTGGACGTGGCCGGGTACTATATATATATACATCCACACAACAAACAAGCACTAAGTACAGATCTGAGAGTACTCGCAGTTACTGACAGCTAGTTCAAAGCCAATGACAACTTATAAAAAAAAATCATGCATCCAAGACTAAAAATCATTCATGTAAGCTTGCATTGTTCCTCTATTAAACGATGACGTGCACTAACCCATTTAATTAGATAGTACACATAAAACTAAATAGGAGGCAACACAAACACAGCAAAACTTTAAGTTAAACCCCATAAAGCCACTGGCCCTGATAATCTGCCAGCATTTTTTTTACAAAATTTTGCAGAAGAATTTTCTCCATTTTTGACATTCTTTTTCCAAAAATCAATTGATACTGGTAAAATTCCAACTGATTGGAAGCAGGCTAATGTTGTACCCATATTTAAAAAAGGTGACAAGCATAACGCTATTAATTATAGACCAGTTTCATTAACTGCGATATGTTGTTAAATTTTGGAACATATTTTAACAAGCAACATCCGAAAACATCTCACAAATAATAATATATTAAATGACAGTCAACATGGGTTTAGGAGTAAAAGGTCTTGCGAATCCCAACTCATTATCAGTATACAAGATATAGCAACATCATTGGCAAATGGCAATCATATAGATGTTATACTTTTAGATTTTTCTAAAGCATTCAATAAGGCCCCGTAATAGTTATACACTGAGGGAAAGGTGTGACTGGATAAGAAACCCCGACGGCCGGAGGCACGCCGTATCCCGAAGTGTATAACTAACTTACACCCGATGCTAAACCCTATATTTGTTTACCTTGGATATTAAATGAAAAAGAACGGATAGCATTTTTATTGACATTATCAAAACATGATTAATAAGATTTTTTTTTTAAATGAAACCCTACTTGTAACCTTACTTTGACGATCTTCATTCAAACTTTGACAAGTGAGTAGATTTTACATATGTCAAAATTGCTGTTTTGCATATTCCCGTTAAAGACATGTGCTAATATGGATCAGCAGGTCAAGGTTGGCCGTATCGTGGATTCTTATTACAAAAAAATACATCATGCTCCTTGTATACAGTTGTCAATATGGACGGGTATAAGACGGACGACATTTTGAGTCAGGCGTTGGATTTGGCAGAAGAGACTGAAGATAACGCAATATTTATAACCCAAACTACTTACATGTATCAGTTTAATGAAGGTAATCATAAATGTATTTTACATGTTACGGTTTTACCAAAATAAAGCCCCCCCCCCCCTCTTCTCAACATTAAACAAACAATCATATTCGAACATACTGAGGGATAGGTGTATCTGGATTAGAAACCCGACGACCGGACACGCTTAACATACAAAAATACAGATTGCATATGTAGGAACCCCCTTTTTGGGGGCAATCCAAAAAAGGGGGGTTCCGGGGATTGGGACCCCCTTTTTTACGATCAATGCTTTTGAATGGGGACATATGGCTGGAAAATTCCCCTTTTATCCTAGGTTGGCACCCCCTTTTAAAAATGGCTGAATCCGCCACTGGGTGCCATCATTAGTCTTCAACAATCCAAACATTAATATTTATCTTATGATTAAGTCCAAATGAAAACTATATGTTTTAATGTATAACTCAAATAAAAGTTCTTTACATGAACGTTCTTTAAAACATTGCCATATGGGATTAAAATTGTAGCTTATAGCAAAGGAATATTTAAATGATTTTTGTTATTCAAAATAGTACTAAATATTTTTTTCGCTATTGGAATTTCCTGAAATATGTTTTTTTAATATGTCTGGAAACAACTTGTAGTGAATTAGTAATCTCTTATGTTCATGCTTTTAAAGAAAAACAATTTCTATTGTTATAAATAACAATGGACTGTGTTTTCGGGATGAAGAAGCAGGGGTTTCCAGAAACCCCGCTCGTCACACCCTGTGGTCGAAATCCATTGTTATTTGTAACAATAGATCTATTCAATTTACACTTGTTTCAGAAATAGAAACTATGAAGTATAACAATAGAACTGGGGTGTAACATCAAATATTAGCTCAAAAATCAGATTTTTACGGTATTAGGAATCAAACCTTAAATTGGATAACAGATTTTTTAAGCTGACAGGAAACAGCAGGTACTTTTAAATGGTGTTACATCTTCTTTATAAGCTGTTGACTCTGGTGTTCCTCTGGGAACAGTATTAGGCCTAACATTATTTTTACTATGTATTAATGACTTACCAGAACATGTAACTTGCAATGCAAGACTTTTTGCAGATTATTGCTTAATATAAATAATAATTCTGATGCACAATTATTTCAAAAAGGTTTATCTAGTTTAGTACAATGGGAACAGGACTGGCAAATGAATTTTAATCCTGAAAAGTGTTATGTAATACATATCTCTAAAAAAATTACACCCCAGTTCTATTGTTATACTTCAAAGTTTCTATTTCTGAAACAAGTGTAATTTGAATAGATCTATTGTTACGAATAACAATGGATTTTGACCACAGGGTATGACGAGCGGGGTTTCTGGAAAACCCTGCTTCTACATCCCGAAAACAAAGTCCATTGTTATTCACTACAATAGAAATTGATTATTTTTTAAATAGCATGAACATAAGAAATAACTAATAGTGTTCACTACAAGTTGTTTCAAGAAAAAAAAACACATTTTAGGAAATTCCAATAGCGAAAAAAATATTAAGTATCTATTTTGAATAAAAATCCTTTTAAGGGAAAAATAATTTGATTGATAGCGTTGAAAAACTAAATAAAATTGTTCGCGATTTGCGAGAGAGAAAAAATTTCTGACTCCGACAAAAAACCATAACCCCCCCCCCCCCCTTTTTGAAGTTAAAATGGTTGCTCCCTAAATACTCCTTTGCTTGAAGTTAAAATTTTGATCCCAGTCATATGTCTCTGTTCTAAAGCATTGATCTAAAAAAAATCGGGGATTCTAACTCCCGGACCCCCCCTGGATTGCCCCCAATAAGGGAGTCCGAATATGAATGTTTGTTTATTCTCGAGAAGGGGGGGGGCATTTTTTTTGTAAAATCGTTACATAAAAAAATACTTTTATGATTACCTTCATTAAACTGATACAGGTAAAAAGTACTTTAGGTTATAATATTGCCTTTATCTTTAGTCTCTTCTACCAAATCCAACGCTTGACTCAAAATGTAGTCCGTCTTATACCGGTCCATATTGACAACTGCATACAAGGAGCATGATGTATTTTTTTTTGTAACAAGAATGCACGAAACGGTCAACCTTGAACTTCTGATCCATATTAGCACCAGGATTTAACGGGAATATGCAAAACAGCAACTTTGACATTTGTAAAATCTACTCACTTGTCAAAGTTTGAACGAACATAGCCAAAGTAAGGTTACTAGTGGGGTTTCATGTAAAAAAGAATGTTTTTCTTATAAATCGTGGTTTGATTTTGTCAATAAATATGCTATCCGTTCTTTTTCATTTAATAATCAAATATTAACAAATAAAGGGGTTTAGCATTGGGTGTAAGTTAGTTATACACCTCGGGATACGGCCGTCGTGTTTCTTATCCAGACACACCTATCCCTCGGTGTATAACTATTACTAAAACCATTGTCGTGACGTCACCTATTTATTTACCGTGGATTCTTTTTCTAGAATCAACGCTTTCTAAATCTGTCGCTGAAATGGATTCACCAAATTATATTCAATTGTTTCCTTTGTGTGCTTAATTTCATTAAGTTTGAATTAGCTAATTTACTGATTTCTGTTCACTATTGGAATTAATTTAAAAACTTACCTTTAATTTTTGTAATTTTTATATGCCTTCACTGGGAATCGAACCCGTCCTTGAAATCTGTTATGTGTGACTGACATCAACATATCGACGAAACCTCTCGGCTACCAATTGGTTACAATTTAAATGTCTATTTTATATATATAAATGAACATTTGATATACAACGGACACACAGGGATTGTACCTTTATATATACATAATAGGCAATCGTACAGTATAAGTTGGTAGCCGCGAGGTTAGCATGGTTAAGATCAATGAGTTAAAGAGTCAAGTTAAAGGTAGGGACTTGTCGGTTTAGGTTCGAATCCCTATATTCTCTTTGTTGTCCCTGTTCTTTAGTTTTTCTTTTTTGTTCTTATTTTGTATGTAATTGTGGATATTTTTGTAATAATAGCGAGTTTTACCGTTTATTTTTGGATTATTATTGGCTATTTCACATATTTGAAACGAAAATGATTACATTCAATTTGTCCATTTTTGTTTTATAAATATAGTAAGATTTCATCTGTTTTACTACATAATTTTACAAATGTTTATTCGCAAATTCCTATGCGAGTAAATCGTGATGTGCCTAGA